TACCATCAAACACAGCTGGCCACATACAGCTGGCCGCAATACTCAAATAGGGCTTTCAAACGCAAGATCATAACGTGAAGCAACTTGGAAGAATGGGTATGAATGCGAAGTGTATGGGGGGGATGCATGTAGGGTGATAGTGCGGGTTCGAATCCCAGGTTATGCCTGAAAAAAATAATAGGAGAATTGAAAATTTTATAACATCCCTATGCTTTTTTGCCTAGGTCATCATGGCGGTAGACGGTGTCGCATTACCCTCGTCCGTACCTGTCCCGTACCTGTACCGTACCGTACCATCAAAGACGGCTGGCCACAATGCATATTCAAATAGGGCTTTCAAATGCAAGATCATAACATGAAGCAACTTGGAGGAATGAGCATGTATGCGAAGTGTATCGGGGGATGCATGCAGGGCGATAGTGCGGGTTCGAATCCCAGGTTGTCTTTTTTTTAGAAGGAGAAATTTATAAGAATTTACAACATCCCTATGCTTTTTTTGTCTAGGTCATCAAGGCAAAAAAGCATAGCGTAGGGCCCTGAGCTTCCAAGCTCTCTCGTATCATGTGTTATGTGTGCATACAGTAGGAATGTTGTGTGCATACAGTAGGAATGTTGTGTGCATACAGTAGGAATGTTGTGTGCATACAGTAGGAATGTTGTGTGCATACAGTAGGAATGTTGTGTGCATACAGTAGGAATGTTGTGTGCATACAGTAGGAATGTTGTGTGCATACAGTAGGAATGTTGTGTGCATACGGTAGGAATGTTGTGTGCATACGGTAGGAATGTTGTGTGCATACGGTAGGAATGTTGTGTGCATACGGTAGGAATGTTGTGTGCATACGGTAGGAATGTTGTGTGCATACGGTAGGAATGTTGTGTGCATACGGTAGGAATGTTGTGTGCATACGGTAGGAATGTTGTGTGCATACGGTAGGAATGTTGTGTGCATACGGTAGGAATGTTGTGTGCATACGGTAGGAATGTTGTGTGCATACGGTAGGAATGTTGTGTGCATACGGTAGGAATGTTGTGTGCATACGGTAGGAATGTTGTGTGCATACGGTAGGAATGTTGTGTGCATACGGTAGGAATGTTGTGTGCATACGGTAGGAATGTTGTGTGCATACGGTAGGAATGTTGTGTGCATACGGTAGGAATGTTGTGTGCATACGGTAGGAATGTTGTGTGCATACGGTAGGAATGTTGTGTGCATACGGTAGGAATGTTGTGTGCATACGGTAGGAATGTTGTGTGCATACGGTAGGAATGTTGTGTGCATACGGTAGGAATGTTGTGTGCATACGGTAGGAATGTTGTGTGCATACGGTAGGAATGTTGTGTGCATACGGTAGGAATGTTGTGTGCATACGGTAGGAATGTTGTGTGCATACGGTAGGAATGTTGTGTGCATACGGTAGGAATGTTGTGTGCATACGGTAGGAATGTTGTGTGCATACGGTAGGAATGTTGTGTGCATACGGTAGGAATGTTGTGTGCATACGGTAGGAATGTTGTGTGCATACGGTAGGAATGTTGTGTGCATACGGTAGGAATGTTGTGTGCATACGGTAGGAATGTTGTGTGCATACGGTAGGAATGTTGTGTGCATACGGTAGGAATGTTGTGTGCATACGGTAGGAATGTTGTGTGCATACGGTAGGAATGTTGTGTGCATACGGTAGGAATGTTGTGTGCATACGGTAGGAATGTTGTGTGCATACGGTAGGAATGTTGTGTGCATACGGTAGGAATGTTGTGTGCATACGGTAGGAATGTTGTGTGCATACGGTAGGAATGTTGTGTGCATACGGTAGGAATGTTGTGTGCATACGGTAGGAATGTTGTGTGCATACGGTAGGAATGTTGTGTGCATACGGTAGGAATGTTGTGTGCATACGGTAGGAATGTTGTGTGCATACGGTAGGAATGTTGTGTGCATACGGTAGGAATGTTGTGTGCATACGGTAGGAATGTTGTGTGCATACGGTAGGAATGTTGTGTGCATACGGTAGGAATGTTGTGTGCATACGGTAGGAATGTTGTGTGCATACGGTAGGAATGTTGTGTGCATACGGTAGGAATGTTGTGTGCATACGGTAGGAATGTTGTGTGCATACGGTAGGAATGTTGTGTGCATACGGTAGGAATGTTGTGTGCATACGGTAGGAATGTTGTGTGCATACGGTAGGAATGTTGTGTGCATACGGTAGGAATGTTGTGTGCATACGGTAGGAATGTTGTGTGCATACGGTAGGAATGTTGTGTGCATACGGTAGGAATGTTGTGTGCATACGGTAGGAATGTTGTGTGCATACGGTAGGAATGTTGTGTGCATACGGTAGGAATGTTGTGTGCATACGGTAGGAATGTTGTGTGCATACGGTAGGAATGTTGTGTGCATACGGTAGGAATGTTGTGTGCATACGGTAGGAATGTTGTGTGCATACGGTAGGAATGTTGTGTGCATACGGTAGGAATGTTGTGTGCATACGGTAGGAATGTTGTGTGCATACGGTAGGAATGTTGTGTGCATACGGTAGGAATGTTGTGTGCATACGGTAGGAATGTTGTGTGCATACGGTAGGAATGTTGTGTGCATACGGTAGGAATGTTGTGTGCATACGGTAGGAATGTTGTGTGCATACGGTAGGAATGTTGTGTGCATACGGTAGGAATGTTGTGTGCATACGGTAGGAATGTTGTGTGCATACGGTAGGAATGTTGTGTGCATACAGTAGGAATGTTGTGTGCATACAGTAGGAATGTTGTGTGCATACAGTAGGAATGTTGTGTGCATACAGTAGGAATGTTGTGTGCATACAGTAGGAATGTCCGTTACACAGTCATGCCTTTGTCTACATGTATGTGTGTGCCTCCATGCCTCATGGATGTGCGAAAACAAACGAAAGGGAGTACTCGGGTGTTCTCGCGATGAGCGTTGCAATGCCATACCGTAAAAGTCCGTAAATAAGTACCTGCCCGAAATAAATACCCCTTCATTCTTTTGACTCTGTCTGTTGAAGTCAAGTCAAGCCCGATAAACATACTGCCCGAAATAAGTACCGGTACGGTGCGCACATGCAGCATGTAGCATGCACATCTACATAAAAAATGACTTCTCCACTACACACAAGTCAGGCCCGAAAGTTAGTTCATGCCCGAAAGTCAGTACCCGCCCGAAAGTTAGTACGGTTGTGGCCACTAAATTCAAAAGTAAATACGTACTTATTTACAGACTTTTACGGTAGCTCAGCAGTGTCTTGATAAGGGCCGTGTTAGCCTTGCCTTCTAATCTCTATTTCTCGCAATGAGCGTTGCAATGCCATAGTTGAGCAGTGTCTTGATAAGGGCCGTGTTAGCCTTGCCTTCTAATCTCTAATTTGTCTCTCACAGGCACATGCTCACTCAGTCACTGAAGTCGGTGAAATTAGTGTTAGCTGGATACCCACTGTTTGCGGTCTATGCAGCTAAGGATTGCGCATCTGTCAAATGTACTTCTTGAATTAACCGGGTAAATGATGATATTGATGGCTGCTTTTACATTAGGACACACATGTGTGTGTGTTTTGTGTGTGTGTGTGTGTGTGTGTGTGTGTGTGTGTGTGTTTGTAGACATTGAGCTCTCATGGACTGTATCGTTATCAAGTCTCTAACTTTGCCAAACCGGTGAGTTTGATTTCTCTGTGCAGCAGCAGTAGCGCAATAGCTATAGCAGTCTGCATAATATGTGGGTCGATCTCTAGTTACTCCTTGTTGTTCTAGCGTAGTGACTTTATTGGTTGAGGTTAACTCACTACATGAGGACAGGCTTGTTGTCACTGATTTAAAGGGCTCTAAAACAGCGCCGAGTCCCTTCACTTGTGCCCACTGTCCTGACGAGAGTTTCAGCAACTGGTCGGCAGACTTGGTCACTGCTCCATCGTTCAGGACAGCAGTGATGGGCACACGGAGCTTGTTGAGTCGCTCAAGCATGTCAAAGGTGCTGTTCTAGCGAGTAGCCACCTCTGAGATCAGACTCAGATGCGAACGCATCGAACTCATAGTTGAACTCGTAGTTGAGCCGTTGAATTTGAGCGAAGCATCGCAGAGGTTACATTTCACTCGCTTTCCACCATTTACCTTCTCAAAACTCTGCCACACGGCGGTACATATGTCATGGCCGCGCTTGGCGGGTTTGTGACTGGTCTTAGATCAGTCTAGTGGCTACCCAGGTAGACGACCAATATAGTCGCCACCCAAGTTGCTAGCTCACACCTGTTTTCCGGCTCACACAAGGTAGTCGAAGGTTGAAGGGGAGCGATCAAAGATACTTTTATTCGTTGGAAGAAGGCGGCTTTTTATGTGATTTTGGTTAGAGTATAATTGTGATATAATAATTAGTAGGAAATATTTAGTATAGCTTCGGGGAGCTCGCTCACCCACATTACATGATAGTGTTAGAAATATGAGTGACCTCCGAGGTTATTCGTACGTCGATCGTGCGACGGAGCCTGGAGTACGCTGTCGGATGTTGCTGCAGCTAGAGCGCGCCGCCTTCGTACGGTGTCTTGATTGGGTCACCCTTCATCTTCTGCCCCGTAGGCTCTTCCCTCTCATTACCCCGTAGGGCGCTTCACGGTCAAGCCGCGACCTCTCCCAAAAAGGGATAACGGAGTCCGCAGTGAGCGAAGCACTTGCAGGACCCTTTACGTCGTATGACGCGAGAAGAGGGGCCTTGCTTGCTCGACTAACAAAGGTATCAGCTCCCTTGCAGGACTAAGCAGGGTCCCCTCAAGCTCAACAGTGTAGTGAGTACAATGCTGACGACTTGTACTGAAGGTGTAGCCGCCGTACGACAACACTTGTGACTCTAAGCCACGAGTTGTAAGCCATGATTGCTCAACTAACGAAAGTGCCAAATCCTTCGCAGGACTAATCATGGTTCTTACAGAACTCTAGAATATTTCGGAGCCCAGCTTTTGGCTGCTGAATCTCATTGCGTGGTCGCTTTCACGACGAGTCGAGTCCGGGTCATGACACATATAAGAATAAAGATTTCACTAAAGAAGAAACGAATGCGAAGTGTACATGTAGCAAACGCACAACACCAAGCGCTCAGACTTGAGTCAGAGTAGAGACAGTAGTAGAGTCTAGCATGTGGTCAACCGCGTGTAGTCTAGTTGTTGTCTGCAACACAGTGCAAAGTTTATACATTCAAGTCGAATAATCGAATTTTCGAACCTTCGACCTAGATTTTATCCGATCGATTATTCGTTGAGGTCCAAGAGATCAAGGAAATTCGAATAATCGATTATTCGTTACATCACTAGTAGAGAGTGTTGTAAGATATACTGACAACGAACCTCTGTGATGTTGTGAAGAGGGGAAGAGAGTGAATCCGTACAAGTTACACGGCTGCACGGCTGTCAGGTGGGATTGCAACAGGGTGTGTTGGAATGAATTTTCGTGGCTCACACCACTTCAAAATGCATTACTTAGGCTCGCTTCAGTGTCAGTGTACTCGAAGTACCTTCCCAGCGCGTTGAGCCCTAAGAAAGATCTCTATTTACATGTACCAGGGGCGGATCCAGACCCCAAAGCTGAGGGGTGCGAGGATGAAATCCAGCAGGGCCGGGAAATTGCCAGGGTTATGATCAGTGCGGACATTGGTCTGGTCATCACGGTGTCCACGGAGGGCAATATTTTGCCGTCCACAAAATATTATGGTGTTGATAATACTCTTCAGCTTAGCACGGTTTGCCTCCACAGCACGTGCATGGGCAGCACTGATCATCTGTTCCACAGGCTTGCGAACATTCTCGATGAGCTGAAGGAAATTGTCATATTCCAGGGCAGCAAACTTATGGACATGGGACTTGGTATTGTGCATCTGCAACTTGGAAGATGCCTTGCCCCAACTCCGAAAGGGTTCACGATACAGCTGTTCCAGTTTGGAAGAGTTTTTACTCAATGCCTGGAACCTATGGCCAAATATAACGTACCAGATGCAGAACGCACCATCCACTTCCTTGGAGTACGCCAGCCACGGATAAGTTTCAATCCACGAGAGCTGAAAACGTCTTCCAGATGTCGATGGGCAGTCCATGCGGTTCGAAGGCTTCCAAGCATTATCTAGGAGCGACTTGATGTCATCATTGCTGGCATTCTCCATCAATCCAGCAAATCGCCCAATGTCAAAAGGATGATGGCTCTCACAACGACGCTTAGCAGCAGGCTCCATGGTCTCACCAGCTGGTCCACCAGCTGTGTCCGACATCTCCGCTCAGCATGCACGGAAACGGAGTCGGAACAAGCAGTGAGAATTTGAAAGAAGCTAACACGACAACTGAAACATGCAACGTCAAAAGTAAAGAACTTCGAAGTGAGTTTGTTGCCGGTGAAAAAGTAACAGTTAGTTCCAAAAAAGTTCTATTCCAAATGTGCAGGCCTGGCGTGAGCACGTGTCCAGAACGATCACGCGATTGCACACAAATCATCCGCGGATCCGCGCAGCGAGCCTGGGCCTGGCCTGGCCTGGCCTGACCTTTTTTTTTTTTTTTTTTTTGGAAAAATCCTGACGGGTTCATTTGCACCCTTCGCACCCCCCTGGATCCGCCCCTGTGTACCTGGATGTAACTGTTCTTCTACCATGACATTTTATGTTCTAACCGATGTCTCCTGTGCTGTTGCTGCTGCTGTTGTGGCTGCTGCTGTGATGGTGCGTATTTGTGTTTTGGTGTAACTTGTATTCAGGGTTGTGAAGCGCAACATAACTCCTCATATTGGTATGGGCGTCCATACATTGGTCTTGGTCCGGGAGCACATGGCAGGTAGGCACACGGCACCACCACATCTACACCCCTCCCCCAACAGTATGCAACTCTGCGTATCCGGTCTCCGGTAACGACACGCTCACATAATGTTGTCCTTAACCACTGCACCTATATGTGCTACTAAATGAGATGAATGTCGGTTGATGCACTGTGCGGACCTGCAAGAGATGTTTTTCTATCTCCTTTCTGGCAGTTCTTTTTACTACTACACTACTGCTAACAGACGTGTAGCACTGCCTTTGGAGGTGGTCAGGCAGGAGGGGGGGGGGGGGGGACATTTTGAAATTAGGGTGTATAGTCCTGCATTCTGGGCACTTTTGGCCGTGGTCGGGCAAAAAAGTAGTCCGGCCAAAGCCGGACCGGCTGCTACGCCCCTGGCTAAGTAAGAGTGGTGATCTTTTAGCAACGTCAAACACATTCGAAACAAACTGGCCCGAGCAAGGGGAAACTGGGATGACTGCACCCTTAGCTATCATGACTTCCATTTCCTTGTCCATACAAATGCACTCATCCACAGACATTTTACAATGCAGAGGAAAACAGCCCATACCGGTAGATGGCAAAGCTGTGAACTCAAGTAGCACACCCTGAATAGTGTCAAGCACAAAGGGATCATGTGTCAAAACTGCCCATGCATCAACACACAAAGCAGTTCTTCCTGCTATTCTTACAGTTAATGACTCGGCCTGCCGCGGCTCGGCTTGTAGAACGGCTGGCGCCTGTTCTCCTGCTTGCCCTTCGGTGGGGCGGACGTGGCCCTCCAGTTTAAACCGCGGCGGCCTGGCACAGGCTTGTGGCGAGGCTGAGAACCAGTACAGTCACAGGGGTGATAGTGTTGAACAGACTTGGAGACCCTCGACAGCTCACTGATCTCTTTGACTGACTCTTGTATCTTGTCGCCGAACAGATAGTTGGTAACAGGAATGCTGGGGGTGCACAGAGCATGGAAGCGACGATCAATGCCCGACTTCATCAGGTCGCGTGTCACGTATGATAGCTCCAGGAATGCATTCCCAAGCAGTGCAATGGCCGAGGACAATTGGGCATTTGCCTCCTGTAGTATGCGGTGGCTCTCAGCAGATTCAGAACATTGCATCAACTTGTCCTTGGCAGCCACTGTGCACGATAAGCCTTTCACCAGCAAATTCTGAGAAGACTGCATGCGAGCATCATTGCCACGCTGCCACTTGTTCACACCTTTCCATATGCCTGGATTGACCAACGGCACAACTAAAGCATTGCAGTTGCCGGGGCGGGTGACTTTCTGTTTCATCTGTGTCAGCTTCTCTCTGTCTATGCGTTTTCGCATGCTTTGATTGGTATAGTTGGCCAAAGACTCACCAACGTCGGGGCCAGGTGTATCATCACCTTAGAACCGGATACACAGATCCTCATCCGGGCAAGACACAGTCTCCTCGTGGCCAGAAACATTGTCCAGCTGCAACGAGTCCGGATCGAAAGTGCCGTTACACAAACTTGGCTAGCCGGTATCCTGGAGGAGTGACGGCGAATTCTGAAGCGTCGTTTCACTCGCAGGATCAAAGCTCAATGCCACCGGATCACTTCGAGGAGTTAGGACCTCCACAAGTTGGCTCATCTGCTGACTGAACGAAGTAATACTTGTCTCCAGAGTAGTCAGGCGAGTACTACTAGTAGCAGGTTTCTTGGTTCTTGTTTTCTGAGTGCGATGAGTATGGGTGCGAACCCCAGCAGCAGAAGGAGCAGTAACATCCAACAAAGTGCCATCTGGAACAGCAGTGGCAGCTAGCATAAGGAAACAACGATGAAAGACTGAAAAATGCAAAAGAGGAAAAAAGACATCCAAAGAATGCAAAGAAAAAAACTGAGTGTGTTTGGTCGTCGCATGCGTGTAGTTGGGTAAAAAAACACTTTAAAATTGCGGATCCAAGGTAACTACCGAAGGAATATTTCACTTTAGAACGTAGATCACTGTGCGGGCTCTAAGCATGCACAGTGATCATGAATGCGGAGTAGGAGACAAAGTAGAGCTGGAAGTAGGGATACAGGTCGATAATTGACAGCACCTGTCTGACTACCAGATGTGTATTGGGGACAACTGGTCTCCAGCTTGTGCAGATCCGGTGCTAGGCCTGTCCTTAATGACCCGTTGAAGATCTTGGACAGGAAAGCACTCATGCTGTCTGCACTGTTGGTCAGGATGAGGGGGCTTATCTGGAGTTCGTGTACCCAAAATACAGGAACGATGCTGGTACTTGATCAAGCAAAACTGGAGGACTGGTACGAGAGATCACGGATTTTGAGTGCATGAGTGCGGGGTGTGATGCAAACATGTCATGTAGTGAAGGCAGCATGCCGTGCACTGGCAGTTGCAGTATACATGTGTGTGTGTGTGTGTGTGTGTGTGTGTGTGTGTGTGTGTGTGTGTGTGTGTGTGTGTGTGTATGTGAGTGTGTGTGTGTGTGTGTGTGCGCGCGCGCGCGCGCGTGCGTGTGTGCGTGTGTGTGCATGTGACTTTGTTTGTATGTAGGTACAAGCGACATCCAACACCAGCCACCTCATTGTCAGACCGTTGCTCTGAAGCTGCTGCTGGTGGTAGTGTTAGAAGTGCTGGTGATGATGGTGATGATGGTACATTGGTTGATGATAAAGCATGGCATCATTGTGTTCAAGTTCCTGAACCCAACGCATGGATGACACAGGTCAGTGTGTGTGTGTGTGTGTGTGTGTGTGTGTGTGTGTGTGTGTGTGTGTGTGTGTGTGTGTGTGTGTGTGTGTGTGTGTGTGTGTGTGTGTGTGTGTGTGTGTGTGTGTGTGTGTGTGTGCGTGCGTGCGTGCATGCGTGCTTGTGCCTGCCTGGTGTATCGTCAAGTATTCTGATCAAGTTGGTCAGTACTGAGGGTTGGTTCACATATCGCTGCCCAACTCTTGCGATCTGCCCCGGCACCGATCCCGTACAAATTTGACCAAAAGTAGTTTGTGAACCGTTCGCGCCGGTGATCGCCTATGCCGGGACCTAGACTTGTCAAAATTTAAGACTCGTCCTAAATTTTTCTTAACATTGAAGCTAAAGATGAGGTCCATTCGCCGTTCTTGTAGTCGCTTCAAGGTGGCAAATTAAGTCAGCATACCAACCCCCCGTCCTTCTCGGATGATCTGGTTGACTCTTGTGCAACTTATGAAAATACAATTGAAACAAATAAAAAATACGAAGGCTACATTGGCAAGTTCTTGTGATTTCATCAACATCTGCAAGCATAATTTCGACACCATTGCTTACTAGACTGCAATAAAAGGTATAGAAGTAGTTTTATGATCTCCAGTAAAAGGTAGCACCGAATGGCCATCACCGAAAGACCTTGAATTACTGAAGAAATAAAGAATTCAAGCTTCAATTGGCAAACCTGTCGTAGCATTTGGGCACATTCTGTACTACTTTTTAGTAGATTTGGTACTCGAACCGAATGCGGGACGGATCGGAAGCTGGCTCACCGCCGGTGCTTCCCGGCGCCGATTTGGCTTGTGTGAACCAACCCTAATATTGGGTGTAGTGGTGACTATCAAGCAAAAGCGGTCGTTAAAGCCAGGTGGTCTTTGGAACAAGATCCCATACATCCGCGGCATGCCAGATCATGCACATACCGTAAGGTAGCGCGAGAGCGCCTCGTCTCGTGAGAGGGTCACACTTAGCATCTTTGTGTGGAGCTCAAAGGTAAACTGAGTACGGATTGACTGCATGGCGGGCGCTGTGTGTACAAGGTACGTGTCGTATGACCTACAGACAAGACACCACCTCCACAACACGACCACAAAAGGCGAGTTGGTGGGGCGCTCTCGCAGTACTTTACAGTACTTCCATAATATGCCATATTGACAGGTGCTGGGCATAGAGCACTTTCATGCCGATGCAGCACCCATGAGTTTTCAAACCTCTCACCCTGCATTGTCACTTCCGTTGACTGCGTTCACTCGCTTTGGAGCGCATTTCAACCTTGTTGCAGTCAAGCCTGCCAGCCAGGACGGCTTTTTGGTCACTGTATGCAGGTCAAATATGGCACTTGGTACATTAAAAGTCGGTCGCTGTTCATGAACTGCAGGTGGTGGCTGTTTCAGTTGCAGTTGCTATGCAGAACTGCCGATGCATGAAAAAATGGTAGTTAAGATCAGCCGGTCACTAATACCAGAGGTCGGTTAACCAAGGTTTTACCAAGAGTAGATAAACAAGAGTGTGCAACTCGCGGATGGGTTGGCCCACGGCGGAATTTTTTGTTGACGTAATCTTTTCGACGACGCACGCGCTGCGAGCCTTTTGGAGAGGTTTCCCTCGTGCACTTGGCGGGGCTTTACACTACAAGTTTGGTGCCCAGCACGTGCTCTCACACTGCTCTGCTGCAAAGTCCGCGTTTCTCTGAAAAAAGGTGACGTCAACAAAAAATTCCGCCGTGGGCGGGGGTATCTGCAGATTGTGCAGGAGAGATCCGGAGTTGCACACTCTTGTTTATCTACTCTTGGTTTTACTGTACATTATTCTGTATTGTTGCACTGTGCACAGGTTAAAGCTACTGGCAGTGGTGCTGCTAAGTGTACACCTGTCCAACATATTGATATGTAAGTGCAATGCCATGTAGACGTATGTAATATTGCTCTTGAACACGGGCAATACCGTACGCTATCTGCATGAATGGCACTAGCAGTGAGGACAGGTACTGCCTGCGTGCAAGCGCATGTGTCCCAGGCAGTCAGCCACTGTTATTGGCAATGTGTAGTTGTGTACTGTGTATTGCTGTTGGTGGCCTTGCGAGCCACTGCAGCGAGTGGGTGGGTGGGTGGAAGGGTGTGTGTTTGTGTGTGTGTGTGTGTGTGTGTGTGTGTGTGTGTGTGTGTGTGTGTGTGTGTGTGTGTGTGTGTGTGTGTGTGTGTGTGTGTGTGTGTGTGTGTGCCAGCTAGTTCGGTTGGTGGGTACACTTATGCCAGATAGTGTTGGGCCTGTTGCCAACGGGCTCGGCTGCTTGAAGGTGTATTGTTGTACCTACCACCTTTGTTGGTTTCAGGGTTCATATACTTTCTATTTGAAGTATACATACCTGTTAACCATGGACTACTTCTGGCTAGATAAACTCTTGTGTAATCAATGGTGCTAGTGAAGCTTTTATCAGATCCACTCTGATTTAGCCACCCACACTAGTACCAAGTATTACCTTCACTGAGGGCAGGGGTACCTGCAGTTGGATCCCGGGACGGATACCCTGATGCCGTCAATCCTTTTTCTGCACCTTGTCCTCACCCACTTACTGAGGTGTGGTGAGCCCATAAGTGGGATCATTTCAAGTCCACCCTAGTTTGGGGATTTCAGGGGGGTGTCGGCCGTTGGGTGGTTCAATGGCCAATTGAGTCATCTTTCCAAGATTCCTTTTGAGTCTCTCTCCCCTCTCCCGGGGAGACCCACGTGACCAGTTTTAGCAGTGAGCAAGTACAAGTACAAGTACAAGTGTGTGTGTGTGTGTGTGTGTGTGTGTGCTTCCTGACTTTTCTTTCATTCTCCTGGGTGGTTACCAACAGCCAGTGTATGCCGGAGTATGTGGTGTGATGTGTGTGCGGGGGAAAAAAATGAAAAGACCAAAAAATAGTGATTCACTGGCCAGAAAAAGTCACTTCAAATAGCTGTATGGTGTAGACCAGGCTGAAAAGTGACGGTCAATTCTTCAGCCTTGCAAGCTGTTGAATGGTGCAATCCCAGCACAAGTTGCTATGGCTTCTGCCGTAGCATTGCTATCATCGCCTCCGGCGATGGGCGTCAAAGGTCAGGTCAGGTGTGTGTGTGTGTGTGCGTGCACACGCGTGCCTGTGTGCGTGTGCATGCATGTGCCTGTGTGTCTGTGTGTGTGTGTGTCCCGGGATTCAACTGCATTCACCCCTGCCACCAGCTATGGTAATACTTGCTACTAGTGTGGGTTGCTAAATCAGAGTGGATCTGATAGATAAGTGGGATCATTTCCAAGTCCACCCAGAGTGTGGGTATTTTAGGGGGGGGGGGGGTGTCGGACGTTGGACGGTTCAATGCCGCTTGAGTCATCTTTGCTAGATTCCTTTTGAATCTCTCTGCCCTCTTCGACGGAAACTTGCGTCACCAGTCATGGCAGTGGGAAAGTACAAGCGTGCACGCGTGTGCGCGCGTGTGTGTGTGTGTGTGTGTGTGTGTGTGTGGATCTGATAAAGGATTTAACCACCCACACTAGTAGCAAGTATTACCTGCACTGGGGGCAGGGGTAACTGCAGTTGGATCCCAGGACGGATACCCTGATGCCGTCAATCTTTTTTCTGCACCTTGTCCTCACCCACTTACTGAGGTGTGTTCAGCCCGTAAGTGGGATCCTGTTCAAGTCCACCCATAGTTTGTGGAGTTCAGGGTGTGTCGGTCATTGGCGGTTCAATAGGCAATTGAGTCATCTTTCCAAGATTCGTTTGTATCTCTCTCCCCTCCCCTCTTCAGGGGAGACTCACGTGACCAGTCGTGGAAGTGAGCAAGTACAGTACAGTACAGTATGTGTGTGTGTGTGTGTGTGTGTGTGTATATGTGTATGTGTGTGTGGGTGCGTGGGTGCGTGTGTGCGCGCACACGTGTGTATGCATCTATTTCCTCAGGTTACAACAAGTTCTCATCTCATCACTGTACACCGATGCAGGGTTGTCTGATGAGGTGAGTGTTTCCACTCTCATGTACACAGTACTACTTACCTACTACTGTCGTGGACATGGAAATCCAGTTGATTGACCCGAGCCGGCGCCCTCAGCGCGTACAGAACGCCGCGTGCAGTGCACTTGTTGATCCGACGCGACCAGCGCGCTGCAGCGCTTAAATGCATGTGTGTACTGCTTATCCATGGCTGCATGGCCAGCGCCCTGAGGCCACTAGACGTGCGACCGGATTTCCATGTCCACGACAGTAGTATGGTATAGTGTGTACATACTGTGTACATAGTGCTCAATGTGTTCTATCTGCACTATAGCATACTGTACATATTACATGTATGTACAAAGCATATACCTATGGCATACTGTGTACATACTTCCTCCGTATACAAAAACTTCGTGACTTTTTTTGAACATTGTTTTGAGCAAGAACCTGCTCAACGAACGGCGCCAAAGGCTATCATCGACAACCCACGTTCATGGCGAGGTTAGTTTGGTTGATGCCGAACAGATTCTCCACGGACGCCATGCGTGTGAGGACGTTGCCTACAGAAACTCAAGAGTCAAATGAAAAAAAAACTAACACTTACTTGCTCGAAACTGACACAGTGACGAAGTGTAGCTCGTGGCTGGAACACGGAGTCACGCGGCGCTCGCTGCCCTGAAGCTGGCCAGGCTTGTACTTGCCGTGCGCGGCCCGATAGATCTACGCGGCGTGAGAACATAAATTTGTTTCGATCGCACGGCAAGATGAAACATTTCAGTCATCAAGCAACCAGCGCAGACTCCGGATCAGAATGTCGACAGCCTGGCTTTCTTCGCCTCTCTACAGTCAGACGTCTCCTTTGTCGCCAAGGGGAATCGCAGGGACCTCCTCGAAGCCATTGTAGAATGCTTGGGAGGATTATCCTGGCGAGAACATGCGAAGCGTGTGGATGTGCTTGTACGACTCGTTTCACTGCATAATGGAGGTCGCGGGTTGTAACGACTGAATATAGTCGACACCGATTCGTACACAACTCTAGAGATGAAGAGGACGTAGCCAAGTTCCAGCGTCGGATCATCACTGCAGGTGAGAAGAATCTGAACGAAATGCGAGCGGAAGCGGCGACTGTTGGCGATGCGGAGTCAGCGTCGTCAGGTGACAATGACATGAGCGACGAAGACTCTGAAAGAACTCAGTCTCATTCGTCTGAGTTGCTTTCTTCTTTGAATCTTTGTATATAGCTTTTAAATAGGTAGACAATGCCACGAGTGTTATTCCGAGTCAAACGGAACAATTCCAGAGCTGTCCGCAGCTTTCAAAAAAAGTCACGGATTTTTGTATACGGAGGAAATACTATGTACACAGTGTTTATCTATGGCATAGTGTAGATTCTAGGTACAGTACTGCTCGATGAAATCCACTCGCATCACTCCAGTTTGTGCCTTGCACCATTTCGCAGCCCAGTGTTCGCAGGTCTAGGGCAGCGCAACGCCTGGCATGGCGCACTTGAGAGTGACGTGACTGGATTTCAGTGAGCAGTACTCTACATTGTTCATTATGTGTGCAATTGTGCCGAGTTTCCAAAGCCCTACAAAGTGCACTGTTACACTGTTACATTGTACACTGTATCCGTACATCACTGCTAAAAGGCACTAGGGTATGTAGACACGGGTGTCCGAAGGCAAGAGAACCTATCTGCTAATCTGATCAAGTCCTAAAAAGTAAAGTTTGCACGTCCGCGTTACAACCTGCTATACAATTGTGTTGAGAAACACAACCAGTTTAGGAAGTTTCGCTTGTGCCAGGCCACCACCATCCCTGGAATACCAGGGTAGCAGATGCAGTGCCTAACGGCGAGGGTGAGGTGGTAACTCTCACAGCCAATGCCCGACAAGGGGGCGAACCTCGTTAGCTGCATCCATGTTACCCTCACTCCGAGTAATGAGTACCCAGTTGACCGTGGGTGCCGGCGCAGTTCACTCATGCATCACCACATTTGTTAGCACAGTACACGCTCCCTGCTCCCAGCGCGGGTCTCGAACTCAGCACCTTGTGATTCGCAGGCAAGCCCACAAGCACTCGGTCAAAGCCCTGGTCATCAAGTCCTAAGGAAGGGGGAAATTGCACTTGAAATTCATGGGGTGTCTCCCATTGAAATTGTACAACAGTATTTCAGAATAATGTTACACAGCACAGCACATTGCAGTACAGTGACTGTACAGTGCTGTGCAGTGACTGTACAGTGTTGTACAGTGACTGTACAGTGTTGTGCAGTGTTGTGCAGTGACTGTACAGCACAACACTGTACAGCACAACACTGCACTGCGCAACACTTCACTGGGCTATACTGCACTGCACAACACTATACTGTACTGTACTGTACTACACAGCACTGCACAGCACTGCACAACACTGCTGCTGCTGCTGCTGTTGTTGCTACTGCCTCCACTGGCATTGCTGCTAATTTTCTTTCTTCATGATGGCTGCTGTTAGTCCTAATACAAGTACTGATGTGGTCATTGTTGGTGTGTGTGTGTGTGTGTGTGTGTGTGTGTGTGTGTGTGTGTGTGTGTGTGTGTGTGTGTGTGTGTGTGTGTGTGTGTGTGTGTGTGTGTGTGTGTGTGTGTGTGTGTGTGTGTGTGTGTGTGTGCGTGTTGCCCATCTGCTGCTGTTCTTTAGACTTGGTGTAGGGTTGGCTCATCTCATAGTCTTGCTGACATATTTCAACCAGTGCTTTCAAAAAGAACATCTCCTCTCGCAGATAGAGTCCTCCTGGACCAGAGGTAAGCCACAGTGCAAAGTTTGTGCGTGTGCAGGTGCATGTGTGTGTCTATGTGTGTGTTTGGGGGGGGGGGGGGGGGGGGATTCACTGGCCAGAAAAAGCCACTTCATAGCTGTGTGGTGTAGACCAGGCTGAATAATGGCGGTCAATTCTTCAGCCTTGCAAGCTGTTGAATGGTGCAATCCCAGCACAAGCTGCTATGGCTTCTGCTGTAGCATCGCTATCATCGCCTCCGGCGATGGGCGTCCAATGGTCCAATGGTGTGTGTGTGTGTGGGGGGGGGGGGGGGGGGGTATATGAGTGTGTGGATACTCAATCTGCGGACAGAACTGTTTCGTCCTTTGTGGACTCGTCAGCGCAGCACAGAGGAAATGAGGCCGAACCTGATAAATATATATATATATGTGTGTGTGTGTGTGTGTGTGTGTGTGTGTGTGTGTGTGTGTGTGTGTGTGTGTGTGTGTGTGTGTGTCTGTGTGTGTCTGTGTGTGTGTCTGTGTGTGTGTCTGTGTGTGTGTCTGTGTTTGTGTGTGTTTGCGTGCGTGCACATGCACAATATCATTGTGATATCATCTGTACACATTTTCTAGACAGAAATTCGAAAAACAGTGCAGCATCTTTTTGTCCTATAGATTTGTACAGACTTTGTACCGTACTTCATCATGCCTGTCTATTCCCAGTAGATTTTCTGGTGGCAATGGTGGTTTGGTCATTGAGTGCTACCTGTATGCTATGTGCTAGAGCAGTGGACAGTGTGTAGCTGTACCTGACACTGACATTTCTATTTCTAACATTGAACTAATATTCATACCACAACTCTATGTGTTGTATTTTTGTTGGGTTCTTGACTTCATAGCGCTTGAAAGTTTGAATTATCCAGAAGTAGTTGTACATGTAGTACCAGCATTAGCAGCAATATTGAACTCTGTGTGTGTGTTTGTGTGTGTGTGTGTGTGTGTGTGTGCGTGTGTGTGTGTGTGTGTGTGTGTGTGTGTGTGTGTACATGAATGTGTGTACATGTGCTGTGTGTTTACAGAGGATTACGGTTGTCTCCGGACAGCATAGCTGTTGCAGATTCTCTGCTGCCTCATCTTATGTTAGCTGTTGAAAAGTACATCACAACGAAGAACATCGTTCCATCCACAAACACCTCAAGCCGCAGCAGCAGCAACAACAGCAGCAACAACGGGTAGTCATGATGTGCGTACCGGTTTACCATCCTGCCACAGTGGATTGATTAAAATGCTGGTAAGTGTTTTTCTGTCCAATGAACATAGGGACACTGCCAGGCTGAAGGCATTGCTTGTCATTTAACTGAAACGTTTCCTGTAGCAACACGCGAGTGTGTAGGATGTTATTCTATAAACAATGCACTGTGGAAAAAGTGGTGTGTGGCTCCCTGGCTTCAGTCCATTTCTTCAGAGCAAACTGAATAATTGCTCCATTGCGCCTGATTTCACAGCGCCATGACTATCAGCGCGGTAAATGACAGCGCCAGCAACTCAGCGCGAAAAAGCAAGGCGCGGTAAGCGTGACAAAGTGCAGCGCGAAAAAGTACAGCGTGATTCAGTGCAGTGTGATTCAGTGCAGTGTGATTCAGTACAGTGCGATTCAGTACAGCGTGATTCAGTGCAGCGTGATTCAGTGCAGCGTGATTCAGTACAGTGTGATTCAGTACAGCGTGATTCAGTGCAGCGTGATTCAGTACAGCGTGATTCAGTACAGCGTGATTCAGTACAGCGTGATTCAGTACAGCGTGATTCAGTACAGTGTGATTCAGTACAGCGTGATTCAGTACAGCGTGATTCAGTACAGTGTGGTTCAGTACAGCGTGATTCAGTGCAGTGTGATTCAGTACAGTGTGACAAAGTGAATACTAGTACTGTTGTGTACCATACACTCAAAAGTTCCAAGAACTGAGACCGACCAGTATTTACATGGCACGAACGATTACAGAGGATGCAAGATAGAAAAGGAGACGAAAGAAATTACATGACCGTGTTGAAGCAAGAGAGAAGAACAACTGAAAGGGAAACACAGGAAAAACGGACTGTCAAAGCACAAGCGCCAAAAATGTCGCCAGATCGATACTCGATTGCGCCTGAGTACAGTCCATACAGTCCGGGTAGCCAAATTAGTACCTCACGACGTCAACTAAACACAAAAAATACGCCGTGCATGCACTCAAGAAATTCAAACTACAAGTGCGAAGCGAAATAAAGGAACGTAACTCTGTCGTCAAATAGTGCAGCAGAGCAGTCTACTGACTAATCCAGCATGGATGTTACGACATCTGGGCACTTGCCTAACACAACGATCAAGGATACTGCACAGCAAGTTACGTAGACACAGGTAAGACAGGTCAAATACAAATCAATAAATTCAATGCTCAAGAAAGAATTCAAACAAATCAAGCATAGCATAGCCTAGCATAGCCTAGCATAGAAGCACCTAGCCCGGGAATCAAGTAGGAGTTACAGTCATGACGAGATATGACACACATTCACTGAAGACCTTTCCCATGACAATGCCATTCACAACATTCTCCCCACCAAAGGGCTTCAGTCAATTGAATTACAATTTAAGCCGAGTATCCAGGGCCACCTTGCGAGACTGTCGATCCAACTCGCAATCTTCTGAATTGGCGCTCTCAATTCGTTGACAACAAATGACAACAACTTTGCAGCAAGACACGCGGACGGATACTCACGAAACCTGAACGGGATACCGATGAGATCTGGTAGCAGTGACAGACCGGGATCGACCATGTTGCTCAGCGATGCTGCTCCGGTGCACGCAGCCAACGCATTGAAGACGACTCGTGTCTTCGTTGTCGTAGCGTCGCGGCGAAATACTCTGTGATGTGGCATGTAGTAACCAGCACTCTCTGGGCGTGGCTCTTTCTTGATGGCGTCCAACGCCAAATACTCGTTGATCAGGACTTCATCATACACTGTCCGCTGACCTTTGCGCTCCAACTGCTTCAGTAGCGCTTGCGCCGCTGCAATCGCTTGGTTGAGGTTGTCTGGGGGGCGCTTCTCCGATTGCCACAGCAATCCTACCTGGTAGAATGTACCGCAACGATCAATCGGGAAGTCGGGTAACATCTTGGTAACTTCGGGAAATTCTTCCATTTTCCACGGACGGTCTATCTCGACACAGCTGACACTGACGGCCGGTGGCTGGGCAGCGCAATAGCTGGACCCGACAACTCGACCTCGACAGTTAGACACTCTGCCGACGCGAATTGTTGCTCTTCACCCCTGATCGGTTTCGTCGTCTTCGTCTTCCGACCATAGGCGGTTTGATAGGCCATACCATCTTCGGCGAACGCTTTCATGCCCTTGGTATAAAACTTTTTCTCAATCAGGAACGCCTTCATGTCCGCACCGACATACTCCAGCAGCACTTGCCGTACTATGGACGCAAACAGTCCAATCTCGTCCACCTGGCTGACCCCACTGCGGGTCGATGTGCTGCGGGTCGATAACTCGGGCATTGCGAGTTTCGCCCACTTCTCTGTTTCTCGTGTTGTCCGTACCACAAACTGGTAAAAACTCTCATCGCTCTTTTGCACCATGGACACCAATGCCTGCCATGCCTTGTCTGCTGTCTTTCCATGGGCAGTTAGCAGCTCACGCTTGGCGTCCGCAAACGTGCTGCATCCATAGCATGCGCTCTCCAGCTTGCTGCCAGCAACAGCAACGCGCAATCTTATTAGGTACTGGTCCTCACTGAACTCGTTTTGTGCCGCCACGTCCTCGAATAACTCAAGGTAGGACTCTACCGTTTGCTTGCCATCAAACTTCGGCATCTTGATGGCTGGCTTCCTCTCTGATGGCACTACTATCCAGGATACTGCTGTTGTCTCTAGAGTAGAGGGTCTGGACTGTGTGATTTTCTCCTCTAACTCTGTGACCCTCTGCCACAGCTCCGCATTGTCTCTACTCCCTTTTCTTTCCTTTGCTCGAGCGTCGCGCTCTCTCTGCGTCTGCGCTCTCTCTCCTCGTGTTTCTGGATCCGATCCTCTACATATTCACACAGGCTTTCTCCAGTGTAGCCATACGCTTGACCGTTCGCGATCAGATTCGCTTCGATCTGCTCCATGGGTCTCGGATCCTGGCGTGGTCGCCAAATTGTTGTGTACCATACACTCAAAGGTTCCAAGAACTGAGACCGACCAGTATTTATTTACATGGCACGAACGATTACAGAGGATGCAAGATAGAAAAGGAGACGAAAGAAATTACATGACCGTGTTGAAGCAAGAGAGAAGAACAACTGAAAGGGAAACACAGGAAAAACGGACTGTCAAAGCACAAGCGCCAAAAATGTCGCCAAATCGATACTCGATTGCGCCTGAGTACAGTTCGTACAGTCCGGGTAGCCAAATTAGTACCTCACGACGTCAACTAAACTAAACACAAAAAATACGCCGTGCGTGCACTCAAGAAATTCAAACTACAAGTGCGAAGCGAAATAAAGGAACGTAACTCTGTCGTCAAATAGTGCAGCAGAGCAGTCTACTGACTAATCCAGCATGGATGTTACGACATCTGGGCACTTGCCTAACACAACGATCAAGGATACTGCACAGCAAGTTACGTAGACACAGGTAAGACAGGTCAAATACAAATCAATAAATTCAATGCTCAAGAAAGAATTCAAACAAATCAAGCATAGCATAGCCTAGCATAGCCTAGCATAGAAGCACCTAGCCCGGGAATCAAGTAGGAGTTACAGTCATGACGAGATATGACACACATTCACTGAAGACCTTTCCCATGACAACGCCATTCACAACATTCTCCCCACCAAAGGGCTTCAGTCAATTGAATTACAATTTAAGCCGAGTATCCAGGGCCACCTTGCGAGACTGTCGATCCAACTCGCAATCTTCTGAATTGGCGCTCTCAATTCGTTGACAACAAATGACAACAACTTTGCAGCAAGACACGCGGACGGATACTCACGAAACCTGAACGGGATACCGATGAGATCTGGTAGCAGTGACAGACCGGGATCGACCATGTTGCTCAGCGATGCTGCTCCGGTGCACGCAGCCAACGCATTGAAGACGACTCGTGTCTTCGTTGTCGTAGCGTCGCGGCGAAATACTCTGTGATGTGGCATGTAGTAACCAGCACTCTCTGGGCGTGGCTCTTTCTTGATGGCGTCCAACGCCAAATACTCGTTGATCAGGACTTCATCATACACTGTCCGCTGACCTTTGCGCTCCAACTGCTTCAGTAGCGCTTGCGCCGCTGCAATCGCTTGGTTGAGGTTGTCTGGGGGGCGCTTCTCCGATTGCCACAGCAATCCTACCTGGTAGAATGTACCGCAACGATCAATCGGGAAGTCGGGTAACATCTTGGTAACTTCGGGAAATTCTTCCATTTTCCACGGACGGTCTATCTCGACACAGCTGACACTGACGGCCGGTGGCTGGGCAGCGCAATAGCTGGACCCGACAACTCGACCTCGACAGTTAGACACTCTGCCGACGCGAATTGTTGCTCTTCACCCCTGATCGGTTTCGTCGTCTTCGTCTTCCGACCATAGGCGGTTTGATAGGCCATACCATCTTCGGCGAACGCTTTCATGCCCTTGGTATAAAACTTTTTCTCAATCAGGAATGCCTTCATGTCCGCACCGACATACTCCAGCAGCACTTGCCGTACTATGGACGCAAACAGTCCAATCTCGTCCACCTGGCTGACCCCACTGCGGGTCGATGTGCTGCGGGTCGATAACTCGGGCATTGCGAGTTTCGCCCACTTCTCTGTTTCTCGTGTTGTCCGTACCACAAACTGGTAAAAACTCTCATCGCTCTTTTGCACCATGGACACCAATGCCTGCCATGCCTTGTCTGCTGTCTTTCCATGGGCAGTTAGCAGCTCACGCTTGGCGTCCGCAAACGTGCTGCATCCATAGCATGCGCTCTCCAGCTTGCTGCCAGCAACAGCAACGCGCAATCTTATTAGGTACTGGTCCTCACTGAACTCGTTTTGTGCCGCCACGTCCTCGAATAACTCAAGGTAGGACTCTACCGTTTGCTTGCCATCAAACTTCGGCATCTTGATGGCTGGCTTCCTCTCTGATGGCACTACTATCCAGGATACTGCTGTTGTCTCTAGAGTAGAGGGTCTGGACTGTGTGATTTTCTCCTCTAACTCTGTGACCCTCTGCCACAGCTCCGCATTGTCTCTACTCCCTTTTCTTTCCTTTGCTCGAGCGTCGCGCTCTCT